TGAGAACAATGGCCTGAGAAAACCTACCAAAGCGTTGCCACCCATCCAAAGAAGAGGGTATGCAGCGCCGAGTAAATGGTTGCAACACCCNNCCCCCCCCCCCCCCCGCCCCTCACCCAAGTACAAACAAGCTGCCACGTTGATCCTGGGTCCTGGGCACTTTGCCCCTGCGTGCGCGAGAGCAATTCTTCACAAAACCAACGCGTGCAGCTGCAACATTTCGCAGGGAAGGAGTGGCTTGGGCGCTGAGTGAAAGGACATTCGGATACGGGTATTCAGAAATACACGACGGGATAGCGCATCACAATCATCTACTTCGATCCTGCCTTGTGCCTGCTTTGCAACTGGCAAGCCTTCAAATAATTCCACACACTACCTTGGTCCGAATAGCACGGAAACAACATGGCAGGCATTTCTGACCCTGCCGCGGATTACATCCTCTCAATCCCCAAAACATAATTCAACGAAGCCAAACCGAATGTTTAGAAACCTGTGCTAGGCACTCGAGCCGTGATCCTGATCACACCCCGCTGCTCACCCTGCACCCCTCATGTCATGGCTCCTCCGAAAAACTGGCTTGCACGGGCTTCGGTCTCGCAAGCTCCTATGTCCTATGGGAGTAAAGGATAGGGATTTGAGGGCTGTTCTCCTGACCCTTCCCCGTGCCTCCAAAGTTCCATCAGAACCAGCGAAGCGACCAACGCAACCTTATGCGCTGCACACGGGCAACAACGCGAGAGCTGCGAGAGACGGGAGAATCGGACATGAAGATGAAAGCAGCGGCCAAGTAGGTGCCCCCAAGGCCGGTTCGGGACTTGCTGAAGGTTTACTAGTAAGGTTTTGGCTTGCTTTTTTGCATCTGACCATGTAGCACACGATTCAACAACTCAATGAGAGAATTGGCGTTCCGTAACTCTGAACACGAAACTGGACGCGACGGGGTATGCAAGTGCATGGCAACATGCATGCATCAAAGCCTTAAGAGAGAAGCTTGTGCTTTTCCACCATGCCACAAGAACGCGTATGCCGGCACCTTTGCGCACACTTTCAGCGACTTCGCATATAGGTGAAACATGCCACCGCGATGAGTGCCTTTTTTCGGAAGGCATGGAGCGGACAGCTCATGCTCTGCAGAAGTACGTGCAAGCCCTTTGTCTTGCCGCTGGAATAGGCTGTCCTCTAGGAGCCTGTTTGATTTGTTTGCATCTCGCCTCGCGGGCAAGGCCCATCATCGGCCCTTTAGTTTTACGTTAGCTCTAGACTCTCGCGCCGACATATGCCATGAACTTCATGCGGTAATCTGCCTCGCTAGAAATGCATCTTGCCTACTGCTGGAGTGTTGGGCTCTGATTTGAAGCCAGCATCAAGGCGGGTCGGATGTGCTCTCAAGACAGCTGCTGCCCAGCGCCTAGCAAGCCACCAGCGCAAAGAATCCAGCACCGCTCGAGGCATTATGGCCCACCTGATTCATGCCTCCAGCGTACTTCTTGAGCAGCTCGTGATTGTGCTCCTGCATTCGCACTTGAGGCTGGAGGCACTCAGACCCTCCAGACGATATTGGGTATGATATTATACAATTATACAATTATACAAGATTGTATAATGGGTAGTGGAGTGCACAAGTTTACACAGCACTGTGGTACATGATATGGTAAATGCTTATCTGGTGAAGGAGATGTCCAGGCCAACATCCATGTAGCTTTGGGCTTTGCAAGCGCGCATAGTCTCCGGTCGAGCGTGGCGGGCACCCCCGATAGGCATCTCAAAAAGCACGCAACGCGTGTTTGGTTCGCGTCTTCGAGCCCTTCAACTATCGATGCATTGATGTCAGCCCTGTTTCGTGCCTTACTAAATGCCCCCTCTCTGCGCTTATGGCCGCTTCTTGACTGAGGCAAGGGTCATCACACCAAGTGCCGGACAAGCGAAAAAAGTGCTAAGAGGTTTAGCCCCAAAAGAGGTGAACAACTTCTTCAAACGAAGGGCTGGGCGGGAAAGGGTCAAAAACAACTTCGAGGTCTAGCCGCCACAATGGCAAAACGCCGCTGCAAACCAAGAGCCGGATTGCAAACTGGCCATGGCCTGGAGATCTTGCCATGAAGCTTCAATGTTGACCTGAGCTGATCTTCCCTTGCGATTTGGCGCAGCTTCCTCGCCGCCCTTGTTGAACTTTCGTGACTGCGCAAGGCATGTAAGGCCTCTGCAACTCTTTCAGCACCTGGAAATGCAGGAATCCCAAACGTAGAAAATCAGAATCCACTGGAGGACGGCTTGGGCTTGCCTGCTCTTCTGAGCCTTGTGGAGTCTCTTGGTGAGGACGGCCTGGCAGGGAGTATCTTCGATGCGTTTGCGGAGGGGACACGCCTTCCAACCCCAGCACCAAGCCTTGCTTCCTTGACGGCCCACACCCAACGTCTTAGCGAGCACCAGCATGTCCTGACAGGATCTGAAAAGATCAGCCTCTGCGCATTGACACATCAACTTCAAGGTCTCCTTCTTCGACATCTTTCCAAGTTCCTGACAGGGAGACGTTCAAGAGGCATTCCCTTTCTCAACCGGGCTCTCGAAGCGCCTGTGGCACGGTTTGGGCCACCAGTTTCCTGGCCACAAAACGGACCACGCAGCGAGAGCCAGAGCGAGAGCCAGAGCGAGAGCCAGAGCGAGAGCCAGAGCGAGAGCCAGAGCGAGAGCCAGAGCGAGAGCGAGAGCGAGAGTGTGTGAGAGAGAGAGAGATAGATAGAGAGACCGAGAGGTAGAGAGATAGATAGATAGATAGATAGATCGATGGATAGATAGATAGATCTAGATACACATATACATGTAGATATAGATATAGATATAGATATAGATATAGATATAGATATAGATATAGATGTAGATGTAGATATAAAGATACATATAGATATGGTTATGGATATGGATATGGATATAGATATAGACATAGATATAGATAGATTGATAGAAGGAAATAGACAGATAGACGGGCAGACAGACAGACAGACAGACAGACAGACAGACAGACAGACAGACAGACAGACAGACAGACAGACAGACAGACAGACAGACAGACAGACAGAAGGACA